CGTGGTGCCCCACGCGGTGGCCGCCAGAGCCCCTCGCCGCGAGGGCCTCCAGCTCAGCCGGCACGGGCTGCTGCGCGTCGGCGAGGATCCTCGCCTGTACCGCGCGAGGCGACGAGGGCGAGTCAGCCTTGGGGGGGCGGAGCGAGGCGGAGAGCGCGCGACCGAGGGCGCTGCCAGCTCTGGCGCGTGCCGCCCGTCCTTGTGCGTGAAGAGCGTGTCCGCGCGCCCCTTTGCGCCCGCGCGGCCGGTGCGGCCGATGCGGTGGATGTAGTCGTCCGAGCCGCCCTCGCCGGGCGGGTAGTCGTAGTTGATCACGCGGTCGATGCCCTGGATGTCGAGCCCGCGCGCGGCGACGTCGGTCGCGATGACCATCGTCACGGCGCCGTCGCGGAAGGACTGGATGACGCGCTCGCGCTCGCGCTGCGTGCGGTCGCCCGAGCAAGTGTCGACGGAAAAGCCGTCGTTGTAGAGGTGCTCGCCGATGCCGTTGACGTCCTTCTTGGTGTTGCAAAAGACGATCACGCGCGTCGCCGCCTCGCCGCCGCCCTTGCGGAACGGCTCGACCAGCTGCAGGAACGCCTCCCACTTGTCTCGCGGGTGACCGAGCACTGCCACGCGCTGCTCCACACTTGGGTTGGCGGTCAGCTTCTCGCCGCCGCTGCCGACGGTGACGCGCACGCGGCCGGCGGCGCTGCTCACGTCGAGAAGCTCGTCCGCCACCTACGGTGTGGATTCACACTACGGTGTGGATACACTCGACGGCTGGGCGGGAGGACGGTCTCGTGCAGTGTACTCAGAGCGCCGCCAGATGGTTGAATACAGCTGACTACGTCTCCTCACGAGTGCTGGTTGGAGTAGAGAGATCCGTACTCCGCTTCTAGGGTCCGCCACCCGCTGCACCGCCTTCGGCCACGTCGCCGTGAAGAGCAGCGTCTGCCGACCGACAGCCGGGATGGCAGCCACCAGAGCGCGGATGTCCTTCTCGAAGCCCATGTCGAGCATGCGGTCCGCCTGCTCACAGGTGTGGCTGGATCTATTCTGTCCGCGCATCCGGTCCGCTCGCCAAGCACGAGGGACCGCGGCTGATCTCGGGTGGCATCTCGGCGGCATCTCGGGTGGCATCTCGGCGGCATCTCGGCGGCATCTCGCGCCTCGTCGAGCACGAGGACGCGGCACTCCGCCAGCGTCGTGCACGGCCCCTCCTCCTCCTCGCCACGGAAGCCGCCCTTGCCGCCCTTGCCGCCCTTGCCGCCCTTGCCCTTGCCCTTGCCCTTGCCCTTGCCCTTGCCGCCGCCGCGCGCCTGCATCGCCAGCATATCGAGCATGCGACCCGGGGTAGCGACCACGATGTCGGCACCGCGCGAGAGGTGGCCCGCCTGCACGACCTTTGGCGCGCCGCCGTACACGACCACCGAGCGCGCCCCGAGCGGCGCGCCGAAGAGGAGCGCCTGCCGGACATGTGTGGACATGTCATGGACGTGTCCTGGGGAGTGGACGGTGCGCCGCCAAAAGAGGAGTGCCTGCTCGTTGATCTGGATAGCGAGCTCGCGCGTCGGCGCCATGACGAGGCAGTACGGGTGCCGCGGACCCGAAGAGAGCAGCTTCCCGCGCACAGCGTGCCAGCGGGCAAGTGCGGGTAGGAGGTATCCGAGCGTCTTGCCGGAGCCTGTCTTGGCGACGGCGAGGACGTCGCGGCCCGCCACGGCGGCGGGCCAGGCAGCGCCCTGCACCGCCGACGGCGCGGTGAATCCTGGCTGGGACAGCAGCAGCTCGACGAGCGGCTGGGGAAAGGGTGCATCAGCGAGGCTGGTGACGACCGCCGGCGCCGCGGTGCCGGCGCCGTCGAGGGTGATCTCGTGCGAGGCGCAAAAAGCGCGTGCGGCGTCGCGATCCGCGCTCACTCTCTGTATCGCCGCGCTCAGCATTCCTGCCTCCTTGGCGGCGTTGGCCTTTTTGCTGCTCGCCGCAACGCCTGCCGCATCTGCCAGCTTCCGCTCCAGCTTGGCCGCCTTTTCTAGCTTCCTCGCCTTCTTGGCGGCCTTGGCGTCGGCGGCGCTCGTGGCATCCAAATGGCGCTTACAACTGAGAGCGGGCAGCATATGTTGAACTCTTCTCACCACGTCCTCCCTCTCTCACACAGCAGACAGGCTGGGTGGTCCGCCCACCACGTCGCCGCGTGGCAGAGAAAGAATTTTATACTCGTCGCACCTGCTATGGTCTCTCTCTCGATACACAACACGCTCGCCGACTTGGCAACAAGGGTTGACTCCCTCGCGCTAGGCGACGAACCTGCCCCCGCCCCTCGGGGCGGGGGCCCCCGCCCCCCCGGGGGGCCCTTTGGGCCCCCTCCAGGGGGCGACCCCTCCGGGGAGGCCGGCTTTCCCCGTGCCGGTTCTCCCCAACCAACCCCGCCGGCAGCGCGAGCTGCCGGCCACATTGAGCGGTTCGTCCGCGTCGCGCACTCGTCCCAACCGGGGGCCGCAGACTGGTTCTGCGCGCCAACGGCATCAAGGGCGGAGCGGAAGGCAACCTCTACAACACCGCTCGCAACTGACTCGTCACCACGAAAGCAGTCATTCAATGCGGGGGGGGGCCGGGTTTGCTCGGATTACGGTTTGCTCGGATTACTTTCACTCGAAGGCGTAGTGGTTTTTTTGGTGTTCCGGTGCCCTGACCACAGGGTTTGCGGCGATCACTGTCCTACCAGCGGACACAGTGGGCCGCGGACACCCGTGAATGACCTTTTAAGAGAAAACACCGCGCGCGGGCGTTGCTCGGCGGCGCTTGTTGTCGTTGCAACACGGGCAGATACGGGGCGATACGGGGCGATACGGGGAGATGCGACGAGATGCGAGGAGATGCGAGGAGATGCGGGGAGATAGGGGAGATAGAGGGATACCGCAAAAGAACCGGCCACACCAGCGCTAGGTAGGACTTCACGTATCACGGCGACGGTGAAAAGAGGGTGTCGGTTGAAATGGATCCGTCGGATTTTACGTGGGAGAACTCGAGCCAATAGATGGTTGCCTTCGCCCTGCTGCGCTCGCTCGCGTCGCTCGCGAGTGTGGCCATTCTAGCCGCAGCTCTGTGCTCCTGGGGTACCATCGGACAGCTGTCCACCGGCATCCGACCACTCCCCCTCAGGCACATCCACCTCGCTGTGATGAGTGACCGGCCAGCCAGTCTCGCCGCCACGGTGCTAACTGCTCAGGCCTCAAGAGGTGAGTCAACACAGCTAAACTGGTGGATCATCACAACCCTCTCAAGGGCTGAGGTGCTTGGGGCGCTCGGCTCTTCGTTTCCGGTCGAGCAGGTGAACCTGCTTGGTCTGAACGATGCCGTGGACTCGCTTGTGGGAAAGGGCATCATCCCGGTTTGGATGTGGGAAGACTGGCAACGCTGGCGGCACGCCCCACAGGAGAACGCCTCGCAGTGGCGGACCGAGGCGTCGCTTCGCGTGTTCCCTCCCAGCCGCGACCCCAAGCACGCCCACCCTCTCAACTTGCTCCGCCTCTACCTCTCAGAGGTGCCTGCGCTGGAACACCTCGATCGGCTGCTGCTCGTCGACGACGATGTGCTTATTCAGCAGGAACTGTGGCCGCTCTACGACGCGCCCCTCGCGACAGGCACGCTGCTGCAAGCGTCGTGCTCCATGTACGAGGGCGCCAGCCAGGGAGAGAGTCAGTGGCTCAACTTGACCAACGCGCGCTCCACCTACGCTGAGACAACCTTCATCGGCTCGATTGGGCCGCATGCCTACAGCTCTTGCGACTTGGGAGAGAGAGCGCGAGAAGAGCATCCGTGCGCGCCGCTGGCGCTCGAGCCTCTGCTGCTCTCGCTTGAGGCTTTAATCAACTACCATGGCGAGCGCAGGGCGCTCGGCCATGATGGTGCCGTGGGCGACACGGCCATCCGAGAGCAGCTCGCGTGGAACTTTGGGGTCGCGCTGCTGCCTCTTAACCGATGGCGCAACGAGCGTCTTGAGGAGCGTGTTTCTGCCTGGTTCGCTGCCAACTCACGCTTCCGTTTTTTCCCGCCCGATTCGGTGGCAAGCGGGCTCGGCCTGCCGTACCTTATCTTTGCCGGCGCGGTGGGCTGCTGGGCGGAGGATGCAGTCCTCGATGGATTGGGCTACGTCTCCGACACCGACCTGGAGCATAGCGGGGTGTACGATCTACGGCGGTATACCTCTCTCCACTTCGCAGGCCCGAACAAGCTGGCGCTGGACGGGCTTGACGACCACAGTCCCGCCTCTGTTTCGCGCGCCACTTTCGACCACCTGCACAAGAACGCACTCTCCCGACGCAGGCTGGGGTACAGCGGGTACCACTCCTATGGCGGCTATCTTTACGGCGGGTACCTCTATGGCGGGTACTTGCTGAGCCTTCCTCCCGTCGCTCCGTCGCCTTCACCACCTCTGCTGCCGGTGCCGCCACCGCCGAGCCTGCCGCCTCCGTCACTGCCACCCCCTTTGCCGCCGCCGCCGCCGCCCCGCATGCCGCCTAGTCCGCCTAGCCCCCCACTCCCCTCTCCGCCACCGCCCTCTCCGCCACCGCCACCTCCACCGCCACCTCCACCGCCGTCACCCCCGCCACCATCACCTCCACCATCCCCACCACCATCGCCGCCACCATCGCCGCCGCCGTCGACACCGCCGCCCTCGCCGCCGCCCTCGCCGCCGCCCGCGCCGCCGCCCTCGCCGCCGCCCTCGCCGCCGCCCTCGCCGCCGCCCTCGCCGCCGCCCTCACCCCCGCCGCCCTCGCCGCCGCCCTCTCCCCCGCCGCCCTCTCCCCCGCCGCCTGTCCCACCGCCACCATCGCCACCCCCGCCCTCACCCCCGCCCTCTCCTCCACCCTCGCCGCCGCCGCCAAGCCCGCCGCCTCCTTCGCCACCGCCCTCGCCACCGCCGTCGACACCGCCACCGAGCCCACCTCCACCCTCGCCACCACCATCGGGAACATTCGATTGACTATACTGACG